GAAGAAATTGCACTTTACCTTTTAAATATATATATTTCTTCACAGCATGGAGAGTCTTGACAGTTTATACTGTGAATTTGTTTCAGAACTAGTAAGAGAATCTGACTGGAATAAATCTATAATTTATGTGATTTGCACATTATGAACCCAGAGAAGATGCATACCTTGACAAAAGCAGATGTTGCACATACAAGGAAGCACCTCTGAAAACATAGTTTTGTCACTTATGAAATTCTTGATTTCTATTTTATGGGATTTCTTGTTTTTATGCTGAGGGATCTAATCCACAGTACTGATTATAGCATGGTTTGGGGGAGTGGGGGTACTGTGACACAGTGCAGAACTGTGTTTGAAATTGTTGTTTCTTTTCCTTGGCTAAAGCCAGTTGCAGTTGGGTTTCTGTAATTGGCAGTTGCTCCTTGCTGGCACTTTGGCTTCAAATCTTAAAAAAGAGCAGCTTTTATATTTCCTAATTCATCAAGTGTTCCTAACACTCCAGAATTCACCAGTGGAATTTTTAATCTTTTGTGGAAGCAAAAGCAGCACGTACATGAGGGAGAAGAGTCTACAAAATCTAATCCAAGTACAGAAAGGTTAATGTTGCACATGGCTGAAGCAGCCTCAGCTGGGAAGTGCCAAACAGCTTCCATTGTGCTGTCCCATTTGTTAAGGAGATTTTTCTCCTCTGCCTACACCATTTCAGAATCTGTGCTATCATTGCATTCGTTCTCCACGGCCCAGTGTTTGCTCAGCATTGCCAACACTTGAACACACGTGTTTGTTGCACATTCGCCGTGGTGACACAAGCAGCACTTTGCTCTCACTGCCAAATTCCTCCTTGGGCATTTGCATATCCACTGTGGGGATGTGAATTGTAGTTCAGCACCCAAATCTGACATGCAAATGCACGTGTTTGTTTCTGAAAGTGTGAGACTTACTTTCAATCTGGTTTTGCTACTGAGGTTTTTTTAACCACTGCTTACCTGCTGGGAGAATAAAAGTTAAGAAATGTGTTCAGAATCCTGACCCTGTGTTGTCTGAGCAGTTTTTCCTGCTGCCCTTTCCCTGCCAGTTCAAAGGGCCCCACTACTCGTCCCAGAGCTGGAACACGCACAGGTGGGTCTGAGCAGGGCATGAAAGCACTCAGGGCTTGCTTTGTTCTTGGGAGAATCTGTGTGAAAATCGTGCTTTTTTGTCACCCTTCTAGCCCCCAGTGGCCCGAGTTACCCCTCAGTTCCCGCCAGCCCTGCCGGGTTCCTCAGCTTGAGCCCCCAAGCCCGGGAGTTGTTGGGAAGGCCCCTGGGAGCATCTCCTGTCAGCGGCAGGGGTACAGGGGTGGAGCTGCCGTGAGAGCGGGGTTAGCGCTGTGCCTGGGCCCCGCTGCAGTCCCAAATCGCGCTGATTCCCGCGGTTTTCTCGGTGGGATCCGCGGGTTCCAGGGACCGGCTCCGCACCTGCCCCAGGTGCGCTGGGCGCTGCTGCCCCCTGGCGGCCCCTCGGGACATCCCGGGCGGGGATTCCAGGGATCCCACCGGGAATCGGAGCAATTACCTGGAGCCGCTGGAGCGGGGGGAATCGCTCTGAAGCCATTCGGGCGAAGACATTTTGGATGGCTTAATTTAAAAGCAGCTATTCCAAAATTTAAGAAAATATTACATTTGTCAAAACTTGGAATTAAGTGCGTATTCTGAGAGAAGACAGCTGTCTGACTTCCTTATTCTAGAACAAAAAGAAGTTTTTACCTAAGTGACCCATTCTCACATTCAGTTATCAATACATTGGCTTTTCCATCAGTCGTTTCACAGGTTGGAGTTCTTCACTTAATATGCTTAGAAAAGAAAAATTATCTGTCTCTGTTGACTTGCTTGGCAGTTACTTTGGATAATTTCCTATTTTGTCAGACCCATATAAAACTCTAATCCTCTTTGTACAAGGAGTAACTGCCCCATCTAACTTTGTTTCATCTGCAAATCAGTGCAAGACTAAACTTGATTTTTTAAATGCTCTTAACTACGGAACCCCCCAAAGTTGAACACAGACATTGGTGACTGCAGAGCCCTGGGGTGCTGCTGGACTGTGAGCTCTGGCTGCTCCTCCCGGCCCAGGAACTATGCCTGGAAGGGGCAGGGGAACCCAGAGCTCAGCTTCCACCAGCTCACAGAAGTTATTCTTCCACCTCGTCCAGCCCATCCCATTCCCCAAACCAACAGGTCTCACTCCACTGCTCCAGAGGGCAGCAAACCCACTCTGCTGTGTGGTCCCTGCTCTGTGCCTCGGTTTCCTCATAGCCCAGATGCCCTTTGCAGAGCCACCCAGCTTGATTTTGGGGGCTGCTAAAGCCACATCAGACTGGCCAGACTGACAGCAGCCCCTGTGCCAGGCAGGGAGGGGGTGCCCCAGCCCACCCCACTCCATGTCCCTCCTCAGGGGGACACCCAACCCCTTCCCTGTGCCAGCTGCCACACACAGCCGGCCCCCCTGGGCCAGGGGGAGCTCCCGGGGCTCACACGGGCACGGCGGGGCTGCAATGGGCTCCTGAGTGTCCCTGCAAACACCCTCCTGTCCCACCCCAGCGGCCTGGCTGGGGGCACCCTGCCCCCCGGGACAGCTGCGGGACAGTCACAGTGGGCATTGCCACAGGGGCTGGTTCATGTTCCACCTGCCCAGGTCTGAGCCTCCCCCATGTCCTGGGTGGGCTCTGGCCCCGCTGCTCGTGACTCACCCACCCAGCACGAGTGAACCCGCGGCTCCCCTGCCTCCCTTTCACCCCGGTGAGGACGTTATTTTTATCTCAACCACACCAAGAGATGCTCATTTATTTTAAACACTAAAGCGTCTGTGGGCTGTTTCTAGAGCCCAATCCTAAAGCTGCCACGAACAACAGTCCTTACCTGCTCTTTAGGAGCTCAGCCTTTGGGAAGCCAGAGCAGGGCTCCGAGCTGTGCTGGTTAAACACCCTTCACCTTTTCCTCCATGGCTGTGCAGCCCCACAGGTGAGGTCACCCACCCCAGAGGAGGTTTTCACCTGTGGGGCTGTGTGTAAAGATCAGTGGCACAGGCTGAGGCTGCCCAGCCTCCGGGAAGAGTGGGTGACAGCACAGGGGCACGTGCACCATTGCTTTTGTGCAACAGCCAGTTTTGGGGTACAGAAGTGTCTGGATGCAAGGGGTCACTGGGCATTATTGAGGGCAGCTCTGGTTTGTACTGATAGGACCGTCACCAGGGGCTCCCACTTGAGATTTGAACAGGAGATGGATGAGCTTTGTGGGCCCTGCCAGAGCATGGAGCTGCTGGAGAGGCTGGTCCTCCTCCCAGCCCTGCCCCTGGACAACACCAAGATAACAGACAAGAGCCCCAGCTGCAGGGGTTTATACATTCAATTAACCACCACAGCCAGAAGGAATTAAATCATCTGAGGCAAAGAAGCTGGAGGAATGGGGGGGTGGGAGAAGTTATTTAAAAAGCAACTGCACTAAAACATCACTACATTTACACAACTTAAAGTTAAGACTTCAGTTTCTCTCAAACTACACATTAACATCCATGGTTTAGAACCATTGGAAGAAATTTCAGCTGCTATGTCAACCACTCATTTTCACATTCATTTTATAGTTTTGCTGACTTTCCTTGACAGTCACCTTATTCCCTATTTTTGCTTTCTAGGACACACTGTTTCCCTACCACCTTGGAGTGTGTTGCTGTGCCCTCAGACTCCCAAGTGAGTGGGAAACACGGTGCCTGTAACACAACCCTCACACACCAAACCCTCTCTGCACCAGGACCAGGCTCTCACCGAGCAGCAACGCAGCACTGCAGCCCCCTCCCCACCCACTTCAGCAGCACCAAATCCAAAGAAATTGGTTCTCACAACCAGGAACCCCCTCCCAAACCCTGCCCAACCCAGCAGCTGGTGCAGATCCTACCTCAGCCTCGAGGGTGAAACCTCCATCCTCCTCGCGGGCTCAGCAGCCACCACAGGGGCTGCCCCGGCAGGGAGGGGCTTGCCTCTGGTCCTCAGGTAAGTAGCTGGTGGCAGCTGTCGGCCCCATTCCCAGCTGGTTAAACACCCACAGCCGTGCCGTGCCCCGGTGTTGGGTCCAGCCTGGCAGGGAGGAGTACCCGGACCTGCTGTTCGTCCTGGCCACAGCGCGGGGAGTTCATTGAACTGGCTGGGGTTTGCTGGATGGCGGCAGCGCCTCTGCCCTTTCCGGCAGCAGGAGTGTCCGAGAATGGAGATTAAAGCGCTCCCATCATCAGTGCTCTCAGTGTTGGGCATTGTTCTCACAGCGAGCTGAACATGGAGACACTGATCTGGGGGGTTCCGGGAGTAATAAATGACCTGAGGGGATTTGAGGATATTTTTTTCCCTGTGTACTTTAGGTGATCTCTGAACCCCAGTATTTTTAACCAGTAGAGGTGGCTGGACCCGCCGTGTCCCTGAGCCCAGCACAGTCCCCGGGCTGGCTGGGTCGGTCCTTGGTCCCTGTCCATCCCTGGCCATGCCCCGAGAGCCCCCAGGAGGTGGCAGCAGCCCCTCGTGCTCGTTTCCTGCGCTGGGAAATCAGCCCTCGGTCCCTTCTGGAGGCTCCTCTCGTCGGGCAGCAGCAGGCACAGCCGGGGATGGCCGGCGGGCAGCCCGAGGGCACATCCAGCCCGGGTGCCCGGGCACGGGGGGTGCAGCAGGTCCTGCTGCTGCCGGACACGCCGTCGCTGTGTCCCTCGGCAGGAGGGAGGCTCGGCTGACGGGCAGGGGGAGGTTTCTTTGCCCCGTGCCCTGGTCCCTGTGATCACTCGCATGTGGCCCCAAGTCCTCCCACGGTCCAGTCCCGGTCACTCTCTGCGGCTGCCACAGCAGCAATGCCCTCATCCCTGTTCCCATCCCTGTTCCCATCCCTGTTCCCATCCCTGTTCCCATCCATCCCAGAGCGTGGCTGCCAACACAGAGCTGAACAGAGCCAAACGCCAGTTTTGCATGAGTGAATTTACTTTGGAAATGGATAACTTCTGGAACACGGTGACTGGTCAGCACAGACAGCACAGGATCCCCTCGGCTGACAGAGTGCCTGGGACAGGGCAGGGGAGCTGCTGGAGGGGCTCTTGTGGGGGTGGCTTTGCATCAGGCCCTTGGCACAGCTTCTTGGTCCCTTTTGTCCCAACCCCTCCCCGTGGGTGTGCTGCCCACACTGACCTCCAAGGGCCGACTCAGTCCTGCAGGATGCTGTTGCCCTGGCAGCTGCTGCCCTGTTGTTCCTGCGCCAGGGACACCCTGTGGCCACAGCCCCATCTCCGGGATGTTGCTCAGCCAAAGATTCGTCATTCCCTGCCTGGAGACCACAACCTGGGACTACCATTAGTCACTCCAGGATTATTGTAACCCCAAATCCTTGTTCTAAACACACAACACTGGTGGGTTTCATTCAAATGGAGGGAGTGGGGTAGCACAGCTGGCACAGAGAGCAGTCCCTGAGAGCTATAGGGAGGTGCTTCATAATCCCAAGTGAGGTAGCTGTGTGACATGGTCCTGCTCCCCAGCAGGAGAGGACATGGTTGTGGGGGCTGTAGGAGCCAGCACTGAAGGTAGATGCCCCTCAGGGCCTCCTGGCCCCCAGCCTGCCCTGCCAGGCACAGTTTTTAAGACAACCAAGTTCCTACTTGGTCATCAGAGCACCAGGATGAAAAACAAAGGCCAAGGGCCCAGAGAGCAAAGACAGGAGAGACTACCCTGGGCTGCACCCTGGGCAGCTCTCAGGCACTCAGGGGCTGGTTTTGTTCTTGTTTTTGCAAGTGCAAAGACCAGGTTCGGAGTTGCAAGAGCCAAACCAGAGCGGGAGGCAAGGCTGGTCTTACATTTTCACATCACTTCATCTACAGAACACCTGGGGACCCGCTGGGTGTGTGGGTGAGAGGAATGTTGTGTTTGGGTTTGTCCTGTGGCACGCTGGCAGGACAGAGCTGGGCACAGCCAGGCTCAGAGCAGGTCCTTCACCAGGGCTGATGGCAGGGCTTCACCTGCCACATTCACAGCACCCGACCTCTTCCGTGTGACCAGCACCATCACCTGCACTGTCCTCTTCAGCCCCGGCTGGCAGGCAGCTCCATCGGCCAGGATGGCCAGGGGACCGTGCAGGGGGGAGCTGCTGGGCGCCTGGGGGGGGTTGTAGCACTTGGGGTAGTTGCTGAAACACTCGAAAGCGTCGTTGCAGTTTCTGCAGGCCCCGGGGTGGTCACTGGCCCCCGGGGATGGGAAGGGCTGCAGTGCCCAGCTTGGGCAGCCGCAGCAGAGCAGGGTGCGGAGGGCCTGCAGGAGCACCCTGTCCTTGGAGAGGAACTTGTGGAAGTTGGGCTTGAAGAGCAGGTACACCAGCGGGTTGTAGAGCGTCGAGGACTTGGCAAAGACGGCCGACAGCACGAAGGCCAGCGCTGGCACCTGCCTGGTGTCCCCCAGCAGTGCCCACAGGGCAACCACGGCATAGGGGGTCCAGGCAGCCAGAAACCCCAGGCACACGGCAACGCTCAGCTGCAAGAGAAGGAGATGGAGACAGCGGTGCCAGGAGCCTCCTGTGGTACACACAGGACACTGACACCCCTTCCAAAACTCAGCCATGTGAAGCTGGACCCCAAATAGTACTCACATCTCCAGGGAAAGGACCTCTGCACCCGTCAGCCTGGAGCTCTGGGATGTCAGACATCAGGGCAGCAGCTCAGCCCACCCCATGCATAAACCTGCTCTCACTTCAGGCAACTCACACCCTGTCCCACCTGGGAAACTCGGGAATTGCCTCAGCCCTCCACAGCAGATGGGTACAAAGGACCCAGACACCTTGCTGGGACCAGGTCAGCATCGGACCCCAACAACCTTTGGAAGCACTGAAAATCCCTCCAACAATCTGTGTGCTGGTATGTGGGTTGACTGGGATGCCTGGAAATGGGCTGTGCTCAGCCCCCCTTCCCTGATGGGACACGGCTTGCCAGGCTTGCCAGGCTTGCAAGCTGTTTTCTTTCATGCTGTGTTTTTTTTTTAAAGGGTATTCACTTTTTTTTTTTTGACATATCCTTGGTAAATTATAGTATTAGCTTGTAGTCTGGGGAACAATGACTCATGCAAGCTCCTTTCTGATCTTTTCCAATGTAATTTAAAATGAAAACTCCTCCACCTGATGGCTTTAAATGAGAAATATGTTATTACCCACACTGACACAAACACCTGGAGAATTCATCAGGAACAGCAGACACCCGGCAGGAGGGCCCTGAAGCATTCACAGGGTGGGGGGCTGGGGCACCCCGAGGCCCTGCAGCCCCCTGGTCCCCCCTACCTTGAGGAGCAGGCCGTGCAGGCTGCGGGCTCTGCGCTGGGGGGACGTGTGCTGCCGGATGGCTCTGCGGGACACCCACACCGTCCACAGGATCAGCGAGTAGGAGGCGAGGATGAGGAGGCAGGGGAGGAGGTAGCAGAAGATGAAGAGGGCGAGGATGTAGAGCGTGGCCTCCCTGCTGGAGGTCTCCCAGGTGATGCAGCAGGCTGTCCCGTAGGGCTCGGGGCCGTAGCTGCCCCACTCGGCCAAGGGGGCCGTGGCGAAGGTCAGGGCATAGACCCACACACACAGCAGCAGCACCGCGGCGTGGCCCGGGGAGAACCTGTTCCCTGCGGCAGAGGGACGGGGCTGAGGGTGGCTCCTTGTGGGTGAGGGCCACTGGAGAGAGGGGACTGCGACCCTGAGCCACCCACACCTCCAGGCGCTGGCACAAGGAGCCGAGACAAATGTCACCTTAGCTCTGTGGAGGACATCCAGGTGGAAACAGGGCTACAGACAGGAGCTACAACACTGCAAACCCAGCCCTCCTGTATTAATTATTTCACTGAATTATATACATTTGGCTTATGGCTCTCTCACCAGGAACCAGGGAAAGCAGCTCTTGTTGCTCTGCCAGAGTTTGTGGCTTCCCAGATGCAGAGTCTGCTCTGGTCTGAGCTCGTCTGTGAACGGTTGTTCAAAAATCTGCAACCTGCTCTGGTACAGCCGTGTGGATGTGGCACCTGGGGGCATGGTTTGGTGGTGGACTTGGCAGTGCTGGAGTAACAGCTGGACTCTGTGACCTTAAAGACTTTTTCCAACCTAAGCTTGTTTCTGTGATTCTAAGAGTCAGTGCATTGACTGGGAATGGGCAAAACCTTTCCAGAAGAGGTGGATCTGACTCACTACAAAAAAATAGAAAAGGTCTCTGTGGACAGAGAGGGGTGTGGGATCAGGTAACGCATCCCAGCACTTACCATATGCTGGGTAACAGACCTTGAGGCAGCAGACTGTGCTGAGCACCGTCAGGCTGGCGAGGCTGCCCAGCCCGAACAGGACCCCGCAGAAGGCGTAGAGGGTGCAAACGGCCCGGTCAAACAGCCACCTGCGAGGAGAGCTGCACGTGAACCCATCCCTCCCCCTGCCACAGGGGTCATCTCCATGGTCCCTGCTCCTCAAGGAGGCTGGGAATTTCCCAGCACCAGCAGCAAAGCTGGGCACACGTGGGGTGGCTCCAGTGGGCTGCGCAGGTACCAGCACCTGACCGGGAAAACACGGGCGTGATCTCGCTGCTGATTTGTTCTCTGAGCATCCCAGTGACGAGCACGGATGGAGCCACAGGTGCAGGAGCTGCCCTGCTCCATGCTGGCACACACCACTGCAGTGCTCCACCACCCCCCTTCTACAGCAGGTCTGTGTGAGGAACCAGAGGGACAGGGAGCAGCAAAGCACCCGCGGTGGGATGGATGTCTGGGAGCTCACACAGTGCCCCAGTGCCACCAGGCTGAGGCCTGGGCCCCCCTGCACCCCCTACGGGGGATCTCTCCATTTCCAGACAAGGTCTGCAAACTGCCCCCTTGCCACTTCCATGAGGTACCTGTGTGCAAAGAAGGAGGAGGTGGCCAAGGGGAAGAGCGTCACCGTCATGCTCAGGTCACTGATGGCCAGGTTGACGATGAAGAACTCGGCAGGTTTCAGCAAGGACCTCTTCTGATAGGCCACCAGCAGCAGCAGTGAGTTCCCAGAGAAGGACATGATGCCTGTGGAGAAAGCAGAGGAACAGTACTGTGTGTAACAGAGCCAGGAAGGGAACAAGGAGCATCTTGAGATGTTTGGAAGCAAATACCAGAGAAGTTTTATGGAGCCTGGAAAGGGCTCCAGGCTTCCCTCTCTGGATCCTGGGCTGGACAGGGGAGCCCATGGGACCCGCAGAGCTCTGTGAGCACATCTGGAGCTGCTTTACATTGGATCTGATCCCTTCCCCTTCCTGAGATCCTACAGAGGAGTTTGGTAGGAGGGCAGTGATGGGATGAGACTGCAATGGGTTCTGGGTGCAGGATCTGGCCAAAGTCACTTCTTCCAGCTGGAAGGAGCAAGGGGGGCACTTCCTTCCAGCTAGATAAATAACAGGGGCTTTGTGCAATTGTCCTCTGATGTGAGGCCAAGGAGCTGGGCCCCTTCCCCTTTGTAATTTCTTCCTGGCAATGTCACTCCTGTGACTCTGTGCTGTCCAATATCATGGTAACAAAACAAACAAGAAGAAAGGAACTATGAAGATCAAGGAAAATCCAGACTAAACAAAAGAAGGCTCTCTGTTTGCTATTAGTGTATTTAAATCAACAGTGGTGATTAAAGTTTTATAACAAGGGCTTTCTCTTTTTTATTATGTAATTGTGCTTTCATGGAAAAGAGGTTTCAGTGTCCTCAGAAGGGGAATCTTTGCTGCTCTTTAGGCAGGTTGGGCAGGATAAGAGTTTCTCCCTAATGGATTAGGCTGTAAATTAAATCCCATGGTAAGAACCAGCTTCCAAAGCTGCTGAATGGCCCACAATGAAGTTCCCCTCAGGAACAGGATTCTCGCATGGGACCTGGCCAAATACAGAGCTTTGGAGGCTTTGGAGTTGCTGGAGGGCAGAATGCTGAGATGTTTGTCCTCCTTCCCAGCCTCACAAGGCATTTTTCCCACAGAGTGAGTCTCACATCTGTGGTGAGCACATTTTATCAGCTGTAGGTGCCTACAGGAGTGCTGTCAGTCCAGTGGTGTGAACCCTTTGGGTTCCCTGTCCTCACAGACATTAAAACCTCTTGTAGCATTTGGGAGACAACTTGCTCAGGGCTCAGAAGACTTGGGAGGCTTTTCTTTGCCCATCATTCACTTCTGGCCCACACCAACCAGGTCTGGGCCACCTCAGAGCGAGGCCCAGCCCCTCAGTTTTGCCTGCTGGCTTTTCACTGCCACTGACTCCAAACCACAGAACCTTCACCAGCAGCTTCTGCTGAGAGCAAGGGCCAGCTCGAGGTCCAAATCCCCTCCAACAAACATGAAGCTGGTGATGCCAACAGAGTCCCTGCCCATCTCACATTGGGTGGCTGTGATAGGAGTTACAGCACAGTCCTCAGAAGTTATTCTTCAACTGTCCAAGTATTTGAAACCATAGCAGGCACTTGCAGTTCCCCTGAGAGGGGAATGCAGTCACCAAGCTTTGGCCAGATCATCATTTTGAGTAATGTGGGAAGGGTCAGTTCAATTATTCTGCTAACGACTGGACACTTCTGGAAGCATCAGCAGCTGAAAAGGCCTGGATGTCTCTGGAAGGCAGGCAGGCAGCACCTGGGCTGCCTGCAGCAGGGACACAGGGATAACAGGCCTTTCCTTACCAAAGACTAAATAGAGTGTGCCAAATATCAGGTCCTCTCTCTCTGATAAGGTGGAGGTGAACACCGAGATGTTGGACACATTTCCCATCTGCAAAGCAAGATACACACACAAGTGAGAGTGAATTTTGGCAAAAGAAGGCGTGCCCAGCTCCCTTGGTTTCTGGGAGGACAGCTCTTGGTCAGCTGTGTGGAACCCCAGCCCCAGCTAACCCTGCCTGCAGCACCAACCACGGGGAAAGGGAAGGAGGGAGGAGGTTTTGCTACTTATTCATCAGCTTCTAAGTTTCTCTTCAAAATTCTTTGAGAAAGTGGCTCTTTCTTTCCCCTCAACAACAAACAGATAAAAATGGTGCAGAGCTCCCACAGGCACATTTTGGATGTGTGCACTGAGATACCAGCCTGTGCCTTTGGGATAAACACACACACATTTGGGCAGTCACAGCTCTGTCTGGGAGACTGAGCCACTTGTTGCTCTGCCCATCCCTGTTGCAAGGCTGCAAGGAAGGGATCTGCAGTCCTGGTGATGAGAGCCCTGCAATGGTGCGAGTTGGGTGAGACCCAACTGAGGGGTCAGAGGGTTGCAGAGATGTCCCAGACTCCAGGGAGGCCCCAGGGTGGTGCAGAGGAGAGTGAGTCCAGCAGGACAGGAGGAGGTGGAGGGGCTGGAGGCTGCACCCCCCACGTATGAGGGGGGCAGGAGGACATATCCCAGTGGTGAAAGGGGGCTCCTGGGTTCATCTCGTCCACAGAGCACCCTGGGTGCTCAGTGCTTCACAGCCCAGTGGAAATAACCTCCTTTCCTCTCCTGTGCTGTTCAGAGGGCAGAGATTTTCCACGTGCAGGGACAGGTGATTTATACCTCCCTGTACAGACTGAGTGACTCTGGCCATGAGGACAACGTCCTTCATTAACCTAATCGGACACAACCTTCATTGAGGGCTGGGCAAATCACTCCTGAAATTCTCATAATGCACAGTTCTCCCCCAGGCCATGTTTCATCTTCCCCAAGAGTCCTCAGAAGCAGATGAGCTGAACACAGCACATGCACACGATCCCTCTGAGAGGCTTTAGCAAAGCATCCATTATAAACACGGAGCCAAGGGGAAAGGAGGGGCTGTGGTCACACAGCTGCACTGGGGACGAGGCAGGGCAAGGCCCACCACGAACAGTCTGGAAGGGATTGTTCCTGCCCCTCAGCATGCAGGCACACGTGCAGCAAGGGAGAGAACTGGCCAAGCTTGTAGGTCTTTATTTCCTTCAGATCCCTGGCAGGTCTCCATCCTGCAATACGTCAGGGGAGCTGCAAGTGTCCTGTGAGATCAAGCTGGCAAAAAGGGACAATAATCTGCAGGAGAGGAACTTCTATTTCTGACATTACTTGGGATAGACCTTATTTTTATGATTGTGCTTGAGCTACTTGTAAAGCACACATCACTCCCTGTAAGACAGAACTGATAAAAATGCACCTCTTGCACTGATCAATGTGCTGATGTCATTGACACACAGACAATAAATCAGTTTTATAGAAACATGGAGAGCTATCACTTTTGTGCCCGAAAGTAAATCATAGACTGGATCCTGTAAACTCGCCTGTGCAGCAGACAGGCAAGTGAAGCTGGGATCAGTACAGAAACTAGTGAAAAATCTCAGACTTTCCCCTGCTGCTTTCTCTGGGGGCTTGTAAAATCTTTCTGCCCCCTTTCCCCCAACAAATTAGGAGGTGGTGCACTTATCTGAGCTCCTTTATGGGGGGGAGTGCTGGGACCTCTTCTCACCTGGCCCCAGGAGGTGCTTACATGGTCTTCTTCCTTGTGGAAGCAAGACAGTGAGCAGTCTGCTTCCCTGGCAATTCACAAACCTGTTCTGGTTCTTCTTGTCCGCTGAAAACCTGCCCAAAGGTCCCCCTCCCACCGAGGTTCTCCCTCAGGCGAGCATGTGATGGGGGAAGCTTGCACAGGCCTCCCTCTCTGCCGTCAACTTCAGTGGATGGAGAGTGAAAAGCTGCAGAAATATCAGTGCAGGTATTAAACGCATTCACAATAATTTCTGACAGAAACAGCTACAGGAGTTTTCTTCCAACTCCGAAACATTTCAAAGGCATGACTGTGCTCAATGAAGACTGGATCTGTGGCTCCTCAGGGAGGGATTCAGCTGAGACTGTCTCCTCGGGGTAGCCAGGCAGCACAGCACAGCCCTTCAACATCAAACTGCTCAGCCACGTAGTCTCTGGGCATACAGAGCTGCTGCTGAATTTGATTTAAGCTCCATTGCTCAGACTCTGTTCTGAGAAGAGACAGACTGTGAAAGCTGCTTTCCCCTCAATTTAATCAGACTTCAAAATGAGATGAAGTTTTCCAAGCAGCTGCTGCCACAGGTACATTACCAGGAAACCCTTGTATTCTGCATCCCAGCCCTTATTCTTGTGTTCACAGGAAGAATCAAACCTAAACCTTGACTTACATCCCATGTCCATGTCTGGCACCTGGGAGGGCACTGGCATGGCTGGACTGTCCTGGTCACTCTGCCTACGTGAAAGATCATAGATTTTATTTCATGTGATTGTTGGGTTTGCCCATTTCCCCTTCAGACTTGGAGAGTTGCTTTTCTTCAGGCAACGTGCCACAAAGCCATGTCTGCCTTGGAGAGGAGGGGGAAATCTGATGAGCCTGGAAACTCCACTGACCTCCAGACTCCTCCAGTAGTAAACAGCAGGAATCGATTTCTGCAGCTCCCAGCGCAGGGGAAGCTCAGACATTGCTGCCAGCCCAGCAAATAGTGCAGGGCTTAAAAAGTCACAGAAGAGCAAAAGCGCACAAATGAGAACTGCTCAGGGTCTGAAGGACAGGCAGCCCTCGGACCCCTACCCAAAATCACCGAGTTCTCCTCTGCCAGGGCTGCCCATCCCCACCGACTACAGACAGTAAAATCTGCTTTCTGCCTCAGTTCCCCCCCCGGGACTCTTGCAAGCTCCTTTGCGGGGGTGCAGTCCCACTCACACCCCCAGCGTGTCCCTCCCTCACACGCACCGTGCCCGTGGTGGCCCCGGCGGGAGCAGCGCTCGCACCCCGGGCTGCCCCTGCCGGTCCCGTGTCCCCGGGACACCCCCTGCTCCAGCACCCCCGGGAGCGTCCCCGCAGCCCCGGCTCACCCACGGCCCGCGGGGCCGGGCTCCCTGCCCTGCTGCAGCCGCGGACACCCGGGGCACCCGCGGGGACGAGTCCTCCCCACGCCCAGCGGTGCTCGGGGCACCGCGTCCCCCCGGGGCAGCGGCCGGGCCCCCCTCACCTCTCCTGGAGGAGCCCCCGGAGCCGCCCGCTCCGCTCCCCGCCGACGGGAACTTACCGGGACGGCGCGGGATCCGCCACAGCGCTCAGCACCGCCGGGACGGACAGCTCCGCGCTCTGTCCCTCCCGCACCGCGCTCTGTCCCGCCCGCACCGCGCTCCGCCTGCACTTCGCTCCGTCCGCACCTCGCTCTGTCCCTCCCGCCCTGCCCGCAGCGCTGGGGAGACTGAGGGACACCGTCCCCGCAGCCGGGACGGCCCCCGCGCTGCAGCTCAGCCCGGGCATCCCCTTCCCCCGCACCCCCTCCCAGTAGCGCCCAGCCCAGCCCAGCCCAGCCCGCTCCCCCCGCACTCACCGGCCTCGGAGCCGCGACTTTCACAGCAAGAGAAACTGAGGCTCGGGGAGCGCAGTTTAAAGCAGCGCTCCATGGCCTCAGCACCCCCAGGCTCGCTTTTCCCTCCCCGCGGCCGCCCCCTCTCCTCCCCCCGAGGGAGGCAGGCTGGTAACTCACTCACCTGTCCCTGCAGACCTGCCTGGACACCGGGCAGGACCCCACGGTGCCCTGTGTGGTGCTCCAAGGACACGCTCGGAGTGACAGGGGGCACAAGGAGAGGGGGATCACTGCACTGAGCCTGTCGCTGTCAGAGCTGGTTATTGCTTTCCACCCAAAGCATTTTACCTGCCTCTGCTTGGCAAAGCACAAGCCACGACCATCACTTAAACAAGCATTTTGTTAATTCCCTCCACACCAGGAGCTTTCCCCTGGTTGCCAGTTAGAAATGGGAATGGCATCAAAATCCTAATATTCATTTTTAGAGCTCCAAACACTGTCAGGACTGTTGGTCAGCTTGGATTTAGGTGCTTAAATTTACTTCAGAAAGGAACCCCAAACCTGGAGAAATGCACAACAATAGCCTTATGTCCTCTGTGTGCTTTGGAAAGAGGCTCCATGAGAATCATTTATGGACTCACCAGCTATGTAAATAGATACATACTGAGATTATTATAAACTGAAAGTTAGTTGTTTGCATTCCAGAAATACAAAAGGCCTCAGCCAAGTTTGAGGCCCTGTTGTACAGCCCCCTCACACAGCCAGAGTTAACCCAAAAAGCCCAACATCCATCAGGGAATGTGCCCATTTTCCTTCTTTCACCTGGAATGGACCTGAGGGATGACGTTCATGACACCCCAAGGAACAGAGAGTCCTCGGTAGCATCACAAGCTCAAAGAGCAGCAGCAGCACTTTCCACTCCACACTGTGCTGCCAACAGTTACTAAACTTTGTGGCCATGTTTGCACAATTGCATTATTTCTTTAGCATAGTTTCCTCTGGAAACTGACCTCCATGTCAGTCTGTCTTTCCTCAGCAACGCTGCTCCTCCCCAACACCATTTCATTTGCCAGCCAATCTCATCCAGGTTTGGAAGAGGGACTGAAGTCTTTGAGATAATTTTGTTCCTACTTGGTTTGTGCAGTGAGGCAAGACTCAAAGGAGCTGGCTGAGAGGGTGACAAAGCTCAGTGGAGATGCCACAGAGGAGGCACAGACCTGGGTTTGCTGCCTCCCTTCTTGTCTGCAAGAGATTTCCCAGAAGAGATGGAGGAGACAGGGACTATGGAGGTGATGGGACAGAAAACCAAACCCGTTCCGAGGAACCCAGTAAGTCATGTTATAGCCAAAAAGCAACTCAGTTCACCTCCTAAAGCCCTCAGCCAGCTCTGCACACAGTGACAAAGCCCCAGAGAGCTGCCTGGCTGTGCAACTGCACCAATGGCACCTTATATTCAGTGCTGGATGCTCAGGCTTTCCCTCCCAGGGCAGGTGCTGTTTCCTCCCCACGCTGCCGGCTCTCCTGTTCCCCAGCTGCTCTGTGAGGATGTGGGTATCACTTTAGCACCAGGTGAAGAAGGGACAGTGCAGCCCAGCTGCTCCCTGTCAGAGGTGCTTTAGAGTGTCCTTGCCCACCCTCAGCTTAGCATTTCTGAACTCCAGATGGTGGGAAGTAACCTGAAACTCATATCCCTCTGCCTTTGAGAAACCACCAGCTCAGCACCAGACACAGGACCCTTTCCTGGGACCACGCCACTAAAATGCTGGCAGCACAGCTCTGGCAGTGTCAGAGACAAGGAGGAGATGAGACTTTGAGAACCACTAGTCTGGCTGAGTTTAGATCTCCTGCCCTGTGGTTCTGTCCCTGTGCTGGAAGGCTGCAAGAATTTGTAAGTGCCCCAGTGCAGTCAGTAAGTAACTGGAATAACTGTGCACCTAACTCACATGTGCAAATACCACCACCTTTCCCACACAAAAGGGGCACTGACACAAAAGTGCTGCTTGTGGAGACGTGTGTTTGCAGCTCATTTATGTTGTAATAACTGCACATGGAAAGCAGACACACAGCGATGCCTCTGTCCCGTGTATCCCCCCCCAGCCCCAACACTGTCCCACAGTGATGTCTGCTGAGAACTCTTCCCTCACTGCAGCACGTGCTCAGGGACAGTGAGCAGGAAAAGCTGGTGGCAGGACAATCTCTGGCCACTTTTTTGCACTGCTGGTGAAATGAAAAGCACTCCTGGGGTACCAAAGGGACACAGCAGAGCACCTGTTTTCTGAGACAAAGGAGAGGCGATGCTGGGATAGCAAACCAGCTCATCAGATCTGTAAGAACTTAGATACTCATAAGACAAGAAAATATCAACTGGGGATAGGGAATATCCTGTGAAAACACTGGCAGTTCCCCAATACCAGAACTGGAATTATTCAAAAGGGGGAAAAAATAAAAGGAAGAAATAAGCAGATTGGTGTGGTGGAGAGTTAATTCCCATGCTCACTGTGCTGGGGAAGAGGTGTCTGAGAGACCATCAAGCTACAGCAGCATTAGAAGAAAATTCAAGCATAATATATAAGATATTCTAATTGCTACATCTAATTATGAGGAAGAGCAAATCAACATGAAAAAATTATCTGTCAAACAGAGTATAAACATGTAATTGACAATCACACTGAGAGCTGTCATCCGTTTTCAGAGGCTGCTGCCGCGGATACAAAGGCAGTACTTGTATCCATGAAGGAGAAGAGTTCTGGACTTATTGTGAAGTCCTATTAATCTGATAAGTCTTTTAATATTTACATAAACTTCATCCAAAAATTAAAACTTTGCCAAGCATATTTTCTCAAACTGAAGACAGGCATGAGTCTGCATTATGCAGCTGGATTCACTAAGGCAGCTGGACAGATGTTTATAGCAGTGCTTTGTGAAACGTCTGCTACTAATCTAACTAAAAAAAAAAATCTTTAATTAGCCATTAATTTCCTCAATAACTCAAAAGTCTAGTCCAAGAGTTCCAAAGCTTTCAGCATTAGGACTCTCAGTTTCCTTTGTTGCCTCTGCTTGCCTCAGTTTCCCTCACAGGAGAAAGCAGATCGCAGGGATGTTACGAGGCAAAACTTAAATTTCCAAAATGTGTTGACATCACTAGGTAGAGATCTGTTCTGAATGCTTCATTTTTATTTATCATAGTCTAAACAGAAAGTCAGTCAGCAAATGCAAGTGCAAACTGAACCATTAGAGGAGCTTTCAAGAGAAGAGATGTTCAGCTTTTTCATTAAAGAGCAGTGACAGACACAGATTGGGAACATGTTCCCAAACATGGAGCCCAGCTGCAGCCTGAAGGACCACAGTCGTTTGTATGCAAATGACAGAGCTGAAACGTGAATCTGTGACAGCACAGGTGTGCAGAGATTTGGAAGCACATTGCTCAATCTCCTACAGAGAGGATGGGAATACTTTTCTCTCCTGCACCCCTGGTTTGTTCCTCATGCACAAAGCAACACGGGCTGCAAATTGCTCTCATCAATAATCAAGCCAGGAGAGGCAAAAATAAAGTGACAGGGAGCAAGGTGCCAGGGCTCAAGTGGCAAAACAGCTCTGAGGATATTGTGCTCAAAATACATGCTATCAAAAGTATTCATGAAAGAGAAAGGCTTTAATAACCACTTTGTGCTGGTCAGGGAGGATGGAGACTCTGGGGACAGCCTTGTCCTTCACGGTATTTCAGACCTGTGTCCTTCCCATCATCTCCAGGCAGGTGAGCAGCAGGGTAATGGGATGGAGAGGAGGAATTAGAGCTGTTATGCCCCACAGTCACTCACCTGGGAAGCGTGAGGCCTGGGGAGCAGCATGAGGAGTCAGAGGCAGTGCCCTGGCAGGCCATGTCAGCAGGAGTTGGAAATTCAAGCTCCTGTGCAAAAGGGGACAGTCATGAGTGACTATGAATAGCCCAGCCCCATGAAAGCATCCCATCATCAGTGCTGGGTGGTCACAGGAACATGAACCAGCTCTGCTGCCCGAGCCAAGGCTGCTGTGCCCAGCATTGCCCAGGAGCTGAAAGCAGCCTCAGCCTTCAGCCAAATGAGACATCAGCCCGTGGATGTATTCACACCGAGCACAGAGGAACTGGGAGGAAGCAACCTCAATACTCGCCTGGGTTAATGACTCAGAGACCTGTCCACACAGCTGTGTCTGGCACTGAGGATATCTGCAGGAGCAGAAGGCTCAGTGCCAGATGCAAATACTATCTCCACCCTGCAGGCCAGTGCTGGTGGCCAGAGAGGGGGGAGATCCCTAAGAAACAGCTCTATTTTAAACATGATGGGCAGCAACAAAATTGCCACGTGTGGGATAGAAAGGCCAATGTGCAGGTGGGAGTGTTCACCCACCTGGCCAGTCACAAACACAGCACAGCACTGCCCAGGGTCAAACCAAAGCATGGATCCTGCACCACATCCTCCACAGGGATTCACTTCTGCTCCTTCACTTCTCCCTGCATGGCCACGAGCACAACTACAGCCCAAACCTCCTGGAACTAATGGAGAGGCTCTGGGTGGGATCCTCAGGACTCATTCCTTTGTCAGCACTTTGTATGTGCAGAGAAGGCCACGTGAGACCAAATAAACCATCCTAAACAATCATTCACCTACTCAGAGACTGCTCCTGTGGTGCAACCGGAGTGAACGTCTGTACTGAGCAAACACAAAAGTGTGGAACTGAAGCTTAGGATGCTGCTCAAGTGGCTGGTTTACAGAGAGGTCCAGAGGGACTAAACAAAGCAGATACTTCGTAAGTCACAGCCCAGCTTCACTGCCGTGCATGAGCAGGGTGTCTTAGTGAAGCCTTATTGTCCCCACTTGGCAGAAAACTTGTGAAGACCAGTTTGAGAGGTCTCCAAGTCAGCCAGCTGCAGCTAAAGCATTGCATAGTACCACTCTTGGCTTCCACTCAGACCACAAGAGCATTTAATTTTAGAGAGCAAACAGACAGCATAGACTAAAAGCGCTGATTTCAATTGCATTCATAAAGCAGACAGCATCCTAAGCTTTGGAACAAACAGAGCTCAACACAATCAGTGAGGTCACAAATGTTTCCCTAAAAGCATGCTCCTAAGATTTGGCCTCAGTAACAGCAGATTGAAAGATGTACTTGGTCAGATTTATAAACACACACAACAAAAATCACCATAAATAAGCACAAGAAAATTCTGAAACAAAATTGCCTGAATGTAGAGTGAGGTTCTCTGTAAAGCCTCATCCCCCCTCTCTCACTACTCTCTGGAGCAGGGATGTACCAAAGCAGTCACAGTATATCACACTAATGAAATTAATCTGGAAAGCAGCACTTCCAGGTCTGTTGTGCTCGTTCTCACAAATCATGTCATCTCACTGGGCCCTGTCTCTCACCTGCAAACAGCATTAGTGGATTTGTCTTGCACACAGCGTGCTATGAGCTTCTGCTCATTACCTGTCTGTGCACGGCTCTGAAATCTGCATACAAGTTCTTCAGCATGCCAGTCACATTTTCTCCTTTGGTATATCTCCCAGGCACATTTTGTACCCACTAATCCTACCCATCAGTCTGTTGTGCCTGTCAAGTGACTCACAGATGTCTGTGCCCATCGCTTCCTGCGTCTGACCTTAAAGGGAGGGGAGAAACCCCACCACATTTGCCTGACAAGATTTAGCCCCACTAGCTGATTTTTATCAACTCACATTTCTCCCACTGCTTTGTGTTCTCTTCTGATTTTATCATCCCCAGATTCTCACCTAGCCCAGCTGAGGTCACACACACTGGTGTATAATTTCCTGAGCACTCCTGTGCTGAAGAGGCGGCTCAGCATCTTTGCAAATGGGTCAGGGATGGATCTGAAGGGCAATATTTAGTGAGAAACAATGCTAGGTGATGGCATTCATGTAAGGCAGATCTAAGCTACAAGCTACACATGCTGTTACCCAACTTCCTACCATCTGTATACCAAACTTTCAGCTTTATGTTCCATTAATCCCATGCTTGTATACTTAGGTGGAGGCATGAGGTAACACATATGTTGCTCTTGAGATGCATTTCCTCCCCTCACAATTTGTGCTTGTGACTGTAATGGAAATATATATTAAAATATATGTTTCTGTTCTTGTATTTGGCTTTTCAGTGCCACCCACAATTCCCATTGCCTGCATATTCTGGCTTCCCACATCCCACTTGTCCACTGTGCTTTGAATGCTGCCTGTTTACTTAAAGTCCAGCTGGCCAGAGTTTAACCCTTAACTTTCAGGATCCTCTCCCAGGCTCTCTCTCCAAGTCAGCCCTGCTCAGCTCCACAGCCTGACAGGACACTGCAAAAGTTCCCTTGGGAGCACTGTGGGGGCTGGATCCCCCCCAGGACCAGCACACTGGGGGGGAACAGCCACTCAGCAACCAGGGTGCTCCCTCTCCACCCTCCCCTGCCATGAAGAGCATCTCCCCTCCTGCCACGGTTTCACAGCAAAGCTCAGGGAAGAGATTGAAGCAGATGGAAGCAGTGGAATAATAAGCTGATGGTCCTCAAGCAGGCTCTGATGCTGAGAGTCAAGGGTTGGTCTTGTGGTGGAAGCCTGGCTAAAAGCCTGGAAAGCAGAGGGCATAAACCCCAAATAGAAGCAGGCTGCACTCAGAGCAGCTGAGAACCACCCCCAGAGACTGCAGTAATCCCAGCCACAGTGGGATACCTGCCTTTAAACATCACCACAGAGGAAACTCCTCCTGCTCGTGGCTCTCCCACAGCCATGGTAGGGGCTGGGTGGTGTGAACCATGCAAAGGGTCCCTGTGCTTCCTGAGGTTATCTCAGAGGGAACAGATGTGCTGAGATCAAAGAGCACTTTAGTTCAGCCACTCGTAGCCAAACATAGCACAGCCTTTGACTGTGGTGTCTCCTTTATGCCTGCTTTTCCCAACAAAACCAAAAAGAATGGCTCACCTTTAGGCTCCCGTCATACACCGGACACATTAGACCAATAAATATAATTTTCTGCAAAATCTCTGCAAGTGAACAAGCAGATCCATTAACATCCACCCCAGCTGCAAAGTGGAACCAGTTCACCCAGCACTGGCAGACCAATACACGCCTCACACTCTGGAGTGAATTCCTTTAATTTTCGGTCTATTCTTTTCTAATGTTCAAAGTCTACTTTGAAAACATGCACTATATTATCAAGTTATTTTATTTCAGGAAAACACATGGCAGACTAATTTCCATTAAAATGCATCAATTTAAATAGATCTTTAGCTGGACTTTCAAATTGTTCCTAATTAATATTCCCTTTGAAATCTATCAACTTTCTTTGCTGCTACCTTTTCTGCACTAGACTATAAAAATAGTATTTCAAAGAAAAGTCACTTTTATATGTAGTAATCAGACACCACTTCATTATCAGGCTCAATTTTTAAGTCAATTTTCCCTCCTCCCCTCTGAAGGACTGTCAGGCCAATAACTTTCTCCCCTTATCTTCCTACTCACTCCACTCCTTGGCACGGGTGTAATTTCTTTCCCACATTTCTTTACTCGTGGCTTGACAGTTTTTAATGAGCCTTCCACACCTGTGGTTTTATCTAGCATTAATTCTGCCCCCTCAGTTCCTCTCCCTGTTGCACAGATCAGGTTTAACCACACTGCAATCAGTGGCCCTGCCCGGCCTAAACCAGCACAAAGATTATGGTACCAGCCTTTGTTTTTGGTATAAAACTGTGTCAGTCGTGGTCTAAAGACACTGCCCTGGGACTGGTCTCAATCAGATTTCTAGCTGAACATTTTCCCTAATCAGAAACCCACTTACAAACCCCTTTGCTGGCAACAGGAGAGCTCTTGACCAAACACAACTGGAAATTGGGTTCCCCTTTGCAAAGGTGCTCCTGGGGCAAAGCTGTTGGGGGTCCTGATGTCAGTGTTTGGGGAAAACTGCTCAGCTACAGCCCCTGGGGAGGAGGGGGAGATCTGAACACCCCTGCAGATGAGCTGGTTCCAGGGAGTACAAATGGAGAATCTGGGACATGACTTTGGGTTTGACAGTGAAGGTGCCTGCTGACAGTGAATGAACCTTCTTCAAGCTTTGTTGGGGAAATAAAAAGACAAATACTAAGTGCCAGGGAAATAAAAATACCCCTTCCCTTCATTCTATCCTGTCACTCTGAACAATGCAGTGCCTGTTTTTAGGGCTCCTTCTCACATGGCCATACAATTTCTGAACAGAAACCCACAGTGCCGAGCACTGACACAAAAATTCACAGCCCATAGCCATTATTTAGTCATATGGAAAATATCTGACTGAGGAAACAGTGTCCTTCACTGGAGAGCCTGAGTGATAAGCTGCAGGCAGAAAAAGCAGAATCAAATCAGTGTCAAATCCACATTCACTCCAAAGACATGTGAGCATCCTACTTGTGCTCAGTAAAAGTCATTTTGCCAACAGGCTCCGAGCCTGTTGAAAAGCAGGAAGTACAATGTAAGGAAAAAGAGGATTTTTAAATCAAACACTGAAACACAACAGAGAATGCCCACAACAGGCCCTGAGATACAGACTCAGGAACAGCCAAGAGGCAAAATACAGTGATTATACCTTGTACCAGCAGGAACATTTGGGTTTGATGGTTCCTAGCAAGCAGAGTTCTTGTTGGCAAAGCACTGTACATTTTGCACTTCTGCAGCTATGTGATGCTTTCTAGGGTCTCTCAACTTTCTTTCCCCCAAATCATGTTTATAGATCTCACAGTGCTTCAACATATCCCAAAAATTATTTTACAGAAAACAGGTTGTTTTCTTCCTCAGCTTTTCCTTGTACTGCAGCTAAGCCCAAGTAGGATGATGGCTACACACCACACCTTCATGTCTCAACTCCCTGCAGAGCAAGACCAGACAGACACCAGGTCCCAAAGGTATCTAGACCATTGCAACATTTAACAGGCCATATTTTCAGCTGTGAACACTGAACCAGGGAGAAAGAATTTAACTCCAGCTGCAGGTAGATCTGCACTGAAGACAAATTTGTGCCAAAAGTTTTCAGTGTGAGTTACCAGCATGTGAATACTGCACCTTCCTCTGTTGACAAAGGAAGCTCTTGGACATAAGCATCATTTTATTAAGCAGCACATAATGCTCACTGTAGTATATACAGCAGCACAGTTATCATGCTCTATTTCACAGCATTAAAAATGAACTATTCTCCAAGCAGGAGAAATCTTCATATCAAAGATTCAAGCACCACAGGCTTTGGTGCTGTCAGAAGAGATTATTTTAATTTTTGATATGCCTCTAAATAGCCCAAGACTTTACAAGTCACAGTGGAAAGTGAATCAGACTTTGATTCCTGCAAGAGGCAGAAGTCACTAGAAGAGTCCAAGTGAAGGGTGTTTTTGAAAGACTAGACATGGCAACTCTTCCCAGAGCCTGGCAGTGATGTGTGGAGTGGAGAACACATTTCAAATGACTCAGTGCTTCTCCACCTGAATACTGAAATGCAGGAGTAAGAAAGGGAAAGAAAAGGATCCCTGAGACTGACCTTTCAAGTCTGAGCCCTGAAGATGCAAGGTTCTCCCTGGTGGTATGAGGGCCACACACAGACTAAACGCCCCCTTATACCCTCAAGTACTCACCCATTCTAAATCTTTTTTCTGTTACTGATTTACATGAAGAGGTTTTATGTTCTCAAGGTGAAATTCTCCACTGGAGATCTGGGAGTGGGAGACAGAGTCTAGCAGCATCCTCTGCTCAGCTAACACCTGCCCAGTTCTGTCCTGGAGCAGCCACAGGACACCCAAACCCCTACAGACACAGCATCTGCCCGGGCAGACACTGAACAAAACACACCCTTAAACGAGGTACAAAGTCCCCTTAGATCCTTATCAACACAAGACCCAAAGTGCCAGATCATCTGCATGGAAGCACCCTCTGTAAAAATCTGCTTAGCAGGAACCAGCATTCCTGTAACATGATGCTGTTCTGCCACTAGGTTTCACCTTATTCCTTACACCAAATTTCTACCCTTCTTACCTTTACCTATGGCCTTGCTCACCCCCCCGTGTTTGCTGCAGCAGCTGTACATGAATCTCCTCTGAAAAGCTGGCCAAGCACATCTTACCCCCAGCCAGGACAGTCTCACCGTGCTCTGTCCTCCAGCACAAGGGACAGGCAGTGACCAGCCCCAGAGTGCCATCTATGGCTATTCCACAGGACTTCACAGCACAGCAGCAAACACACAGGCACGCTCATCCCCCCTCCTGGCATCAGGAATATCCCTCAGAAAAGCTTCTGTCATTGAGGTCTGAAGAACAAGAGAATTTAGTCACAGCAGCAGATGCAACAGTAGCTGCCCTAAGACGGCTTTTACTTCTCCTGGAGCGAGAGGCAGAGCGTGGGGAATGCAGCCCCTCTCCCCCACTCTCCCCAAAAAAGGAGAAGCAGAACATATGCACACAGCCCACTGATTTCTGCTGAGGTGGCCCAAAGCCAGCGTATAAAAGAGGTACCTGTGAAATGAGGCTGGAGCACGTTAGCATTTTTAGAGTCAGAAACCAAAAAGCAAAAAGAGATGGAAATGGCATTCTCCCCTCAATGCACATCCCAGGAGCAATAAATGAGCCACCTCCACCAGGGAAACCGGCCACCCAAGGGAAACCATGGTGCTAGGGAGGTGTTTCACAGCAGTGCTGAGCTGACCCCTCTGGGCAGAAAGGCTTATGGGGCCAACCCTGGCCCTGCAGCTGAGGAAAGAGGCCTGGAGCAGGTGATGTGGCAGGTGCTATCCTTGTCTGCTTCTGCCACTGAGTCAGCCTG